CATATAGTTCCGCATGTTCCTTTGTCAAATAAAATTGCCTGGTGTTAGAGAGATTTGTAGGTAGGGTGCATAGCAGCTTATTATTAAATGGTTAAGTAGCAACATTCCAGCTCACAACAGTATAGTATAGTATAGTATAGTATAGTATAAGCAAAATTTGCGACTTACCACTCATAAAGTTTTGCAGTTTCATGCAAACGTTTCAATATCTCGTCTTTAACGATCTCGTTCGACCTCATGTCCACTCCTCATCAGCGGCAGGATCATCAGCCCAAGCATAGCTGCATAGGCATGATATAAAAGCATCATCATCGCTTGAAACCAGATATATCCGCTTCTAAGCCTTCTATCCCTACATTTTGTCATATTCTGATAAATAATCGTTCCCTGATGCGAACGAAGAAGCCTCGGAAGATGCATCCGTCGAAGACATTGCAAAAAGATATAAAAAACCGCGAATTATTCTTCGAAATTAAAGCTTCTTTGTAATGGTGTTTACAAGGAAGGTTCGCATGAGTTCACCAATTGACGTCACACATTCCTCTCTCACCAGTCTCCCAAAACTCGGTCGTGGAACAAATGTGTGCAAACTTTGAGAAGCCATAGAATTGCGAGAATTCAACCGATTATTTCGACTTTTTTCTACATCAAACTTTATGAAGATTTGTTCAGTCAAACGGAATCATATTCTAGACGTTCTCTTAGCGTCTTTTCTTTCATCGTTAATGTCCGTGCGTCATCAGACACATTCACGTCAACTGGATGCGATAAAATAACTGTCTTTGATTTTGAACACGCTGAGTAGAATGCTCTACGAGCTGAGCGATATTTCATTGTTCAAAAGGCGTATGGTAATCAGGCATTTCCACAAGAGGCCCAGGCTCGATTTGCCCGCGCCCGCCTGTGCCTTCCTTATAACGAGGGAAGGACGGAGATATTGAGACCAAAATAGCCCAGACTCGGCATATGTCACAAGAAACTATCCTCGATTTTTCGCTTTTAATGCATTTCTTTCACGATTAATCGATATTCCCTGCAAGAATGATACCGTATAACTCTCAAAACAACGATGCATATTTTGACCGAATTTTGTTATTCCCTCATTATACGGTATCTTTAATCAAAGAGCTTAAATTCGCTCTGAAATCCGTGAGGGAATAACAAAATTCG